GAACCTGCCCTTTTAACTCTACAAGCCAGTTAAACATTAACACCACCACAAAATGCTATCAGATGGGAAATGTAAAATAACCTTTTAATAGAGAGCATTTATCTACATGCAAAAAAAAGTACATAGAGACCGCAGCCAAAGCAGAGACAGACATTCTACTGACAGGTGTCTATAGCAACCTGATGTGGATATAAACTAACTACAGACCACGTCCCACTGTCAACCATTCCTTACACCAATCACTCATGCTGACAGCTGCTGATAAAGGCCGTGGTTGTTTCAATATGTCTCGTTTCCTCAATAGAACACAGAAATAAGAGAACACACCCAATGGTGAACACAAACACCAAAGTTGTGATCACTCGTTCATGAAAAAAGAGAATTTCTTGTGCTGAGCCTGGGCAGGAATGCTGCTGTGCATTTGGATAAAGCAGCCACTGCTTGCTGGGAGGGGTTCTATGCAATCTACAAAATGTATTTTGCTGCACAGAACAGTGAAGACGGCTAATGCAGCAGCTGCAGTTTGCTCTGTTTTGGGGATAAAGTCTGTTAATGCCACAGGCGTTATAAATATCACATAAATTCAAAGTTTCCGTCTAGCAATGTGGCATAACTACTGGTGTTATCAACATCCAAGGATTTCTGAGAATAAGTCATTTCAGCTCAATCGGTGGGGGTTTGAATGAAAGGGGGAAAACACAAGAAAATGGAAATAAATGCCACTGATAATCAGTTCGCTGAGAGATGAATGATTAGAAATCTTTACAGAGATCAGACAACTTGCTACTGTGTTACCTCATATACAAAGTTAATAATAAATACAAATATCAAACACCAAAATGAGAGAGACTCCGCAAAAGACTGTGGCTCAAATCGGTTTATATATGTACAGCTCACATTAAATTGATCAAAAATTACAGTAAAGACATTTATAATGTTATAAAAGATTTCTATTCCAAATAAATCATACATTTTTTTTTTATTCTGATTAAGCTTTGCCATCATTAATTAAAAAAAATTAAAAAAATAAAAATAAAAGAAAC